TCTGCAGTTTCTTGTTGGAATCTGTTTTTGAAGTTTTTTGGTTGGAGAATTGCGACTTTTTGGTCTGAAATTGAGTGACCAGGGAGGTTGAAGTGTTCTCCGACTGGTTTTTGAATGTTATAATTCTTGACATCTGATTTGTGTCCATTTATTCTTTTGCATAGAGATTGCCTGGTTTGGCCAATGTACAGGGCAGAGGGGCATTGCTGGCACATGATGGCATATATCACATTGGTAGATGTGCAGGTGAACAAGACTCTAATGGTGTGGTTGATGTCAGCAGTTGAGGTCAGCAGCTGCTCAAAGCATTTGCCTATGGCTGCAATAGCCTCTGTGCCTGCTTTTTTCCCAGCCTTGCTTCTGCCTTATTCCAGTCCTCCTCCTGCCTTGTTCCAGCCCTGCTCCTGCACTTTTTTTTATACACCACAAAGAAGCAAACTAAAAGAGTCAAACACATTTTTTTTCTGCTTTGCAGGTCACCTTTAATAAGCAGTGAGTTCCTCAAGGGATAATAACGACAGGCTATATCTTATTCTTGTTCCATTGATGGAGGTGCAGCTATGGATTTTAAAAGACAATTTTGAGTAAGAAAGATTGAGGGTAGATCATGGCCCTAAAAATTAACCACCAAAAATGAGACAGTTTGGGAGGGAAGATGCAAAGAGTTTCTCTCAGTTAAAGAAAGCTGGTAGCCAGCAGGGTAAGGTGTCATTAACTCAGGTAACTTAGGCCCTGTAATTAGATCCTATTTGTGAAAAGCTTTATGCAGCAACGTAAGAACTTTATCATTGATAAGAAATACAACTGGTACCTCGTGCACCAGAACAGCAATTAGGTCACATGATCATACCTCCTGGCTCCAGTCAGAATACAAGATGGTGTATTAAAATACTTACTTAAATGTAAACTGCAAAGCCAATGTTAAAACTCAGTTAACACAGTTTTATCACATCACAGTTTTATGCCACAGGCCACACTAGCCAGGCTGTGGGTGACACTGAATTCAAATATTAATTTTAACGAAACTTTCTTTAATTCCTTTCCCCTCTGTGAAATCTTCTTGGTCCTTCCTGCCTCAGTGAAGACATAGCAGAATGTATCACTCTATGTCATAACACATACCATGGATTGCAGTGAGATGCTGGCCGTTGCAGATGTACATTCTGGAATATCAACAGTCAACCAGGATGTATCAAGAGGATTTCAGAAAAGTGTGGGGGAGAGGGAAAATACTTTTTCAAAAAGTTAAAACTCATTTATGTGGTGAGTAATCTCCCTCGTTCCCTCACAGTGTGATGACCGGGAACATTCAGCACAGAAATCTCTCTCTAAGTCCATTTTTATATTTGCTTTGCAGTTTGCCTGTCCGCAAGCTGGAATGCCAGAAAGTAAAGCATTAATGCAATCTCTCTGTCAGAAAAGGAAAGAAAAGACTGAATTCTGGAAATGATCTTAAGGTGGTAGAAATCTGAATTTACTGTGTCAGAGAAATAGATGATTCTGTTTCCCTTTAAAAATCAGAACACCAAGGCTCTTAACTATTTATAGTTGATGATTGAATATCAGAGCCACAAAAGGAAGAGGAGAATGAGGTAACAGATTTAAAATAGTGTCAGGAACCAGCGATTCATAGCTCAGTTTTTGTAGCAATTAATATTTAAAAATCCTTGGACATCTGTGCCCCTATATTTAAGGCAAGCTGATCAAACAGTGGAAGCAGAGGAAATGATCTTCATGTGAATCACATAAAAAAGGAAAGTTGGATAATTAAATGCAAAAAAGCAGGCAAAGGCTGAAGATTAATGGTCCCTAGGGACACTGGGAAAAGAATGGCAAGAGAGGCAAACTGCACACAATCAGATGACTGTGATCACTTCCATACCAAGTGCCGTTCCTGCTAAGCCTATACCATAACATTCCAAATGACCAGTAGTATCAAATGCTATGGAACTATGCAGCAATACATGAGCCAATAAGACCATCACCAGTGCATAGGAAGAACCCATTCACCATGTTAACCACTGCTGTTCCAGCAGTTGAAACCCTCGCTTGCAAGCCTCTAATAAACTGTTCTGAGAAAGGTGATTAAACAGTTGTTTGATTGCACCCTCTTCAAACACTTTAGCAGGAAAGCATAAATAGGAAAAAGGCAAATAAGTGGCTGAACACTAAAATATGGCTCTCTTAAGATGAGGGCTGTAATGGGATTTAACCATTTTAATGTGATTGGAACAAGACACAATAATCATCTGTTTAAGGCATGGGAAGGGTTCCCAAATGTGCTAATCAAGTGTTCACTGGCACATTGCTGGAGAATGTAAATGAGTCAGGGATCAAGACCTTTCTGTTCTCCCACTATGCAGTACAGAGAGGAGCAAAATGCCAAAAAATCCATAATGTGTCTGTGTAGAGGGGAAAATTGGCTACATGGGATGTTCCCTCCCACCCTTTCCCTTCCACTCTCCCTCCCTTCCCCCCAACATTTCTGACCTTTGGAAAAAGCCCTTGTGTCTCGTCATCATTTATATGAGAAAAGAGACATGGCCAGAGCAAAAAGAGGATCATTCTTCCTCAGAAGCACTGCAGAAGGAATACAGTAAAACATGGAGGTTAATGTTGCTTGAAGCAGAAGACTGGAAATTAGCATGAACATTTGGGGCGCAAATGAGAAGTCCGTGGGAGCTGAGAGCACTCAGCACCATGCAGGAGTTGCTTAGCATGGACTCACCTCCCTACAAGCGCTCTTTACTGAAAAAAACAACCATGTGGGGGACTCAGTTACAACACAAGAGCTCATGTTTGAGGAAACAAGGAGCAAAAATGCTGCTCATTGAAGAGTGATTCACTAGAAAGTGGGTTATTCTTTAGACTTAATCTGCTTCCTAGAGGAATCCAGATTCAACCTCTGTCCCCCCAGTGTCCCTTTATTATGTAATAATTGTAATTATTACATAATAAAGGGACACTGACAACTTAAAATTCACACTTCAGGATGAAAATGATTTACCTGCTGTAAAGTAACTGCAAGTAATATCTAAGATTACTATAAGGAAAAGAAATGAGAGGGGGAAAATATGTTTTCTCTATTTTTTTCCCTATCTGCTTAGTATGTATTAAATGGCACCTTGCCTACAGTCAGTTTCACTGTTTCCCTGACATAGTGAGTAAGGCCCCAATCCTGCAAGCACTTGCATATGCTTAATTTTATACGAGACTTTGCAAGACCAGAGTCAGTTTTCCCTGTTGTTTTCATGGATCATTAATACAGCAATAAGAAAGAGAAAGTCACTGGAAAAAAATTAGGAAAAACTTCTCAGGGTGATTCTGAGGCAGATGTAGTTAATGAAAATAATTCTCACTCATTTTTTTTAAACTAACTGATTTCAAGGTTCTGTTAGTGAATGCAAAGCTTCTGCATTTGTTATAATAAGCTTTGTTACCACAAAGGGGAGCAAAAACAATGTATATTATTTTCACTGTCTTAAGTGGGACCTTCAAAGATTTTTTATATGACAAAATACATTTATGGAAATCAAGATACATTTATGGAAAATTAAGTAAAATGAAAGAAAGTCAATAGTGATAAGCATGCACAAGTATTTAAATTACTACCAATAGATTAAAGCAGGGGCTCTCAAACTTCATTGCACCACGACCCCCTTCTGACAATAAAAATTACTATATGACCCCAGGAGGGGGGACCGAAGACTGAGCCACCCCAGCCCCACTGCCCCAGGTGAAGGGGCCAAAGCCCCAGACTCAGCGGGGAGGCCTGTAACCTGAGCCCCGCCACCCATGGCCAAAGCCAAAGCCCTCACTCTTTGGCTTCAGCTACCGGCGGTGGGGCTTGGGGTACGACTTCAGCCCTGGGCCCCAGGAAGTCTAAACCAGCCTTGGTGACCCTATTACAACGGGATCTCGACAAACTTTGAGGCCCCAACCCACAGTCTGAGAACCGCTGGATTAGTGTAACAATAGATCACACACACCTAACTGCTGCTCTGGGCTTTTGTCCCTGAACTGAAGTGATTCTAAAGAAAATTGTTATAACTGTTCCACAATTAACATACAAAAATATTTTTTAAAAGCCAAACACCAATTTTTATACTCCCACATTTATGGCACATGTATGTATGTAACCAGAGGGTTATATGCTTCTTCTGGGCAGAGAAAGCTTATTCCAAGCATCTGTGACCCACAGCAATTCAAATCCCATACAAATGCCCACTTATGTGACAGCTGCCATCTTGGCCAACATCAGAGATTGAACTGGGGACTGGCAGAGCTATAGGGATTGAGCTAAGTAGCTAGATCCTGTTACGAATAATTACTGTTCACTCATAAAAGTACTTTCATTTGGACATATGCCCAGTTTTGCTTGATGAGCTAGACTGATTCATCATATTAATTATTATTTTCCCCATTTTGGGTAATATTCTTCCCATGAATACCTCATGTACAATTCCCATTGTCTTCTATAGCTGTGGTTCTCAACCTTTTTTCATTTGTGGCCCCTAAAAATTTTTGAACGGAGGTGCGGACCCCTCCGGAAATCTGCAGACCCCCCAGGGGTCTGTGGACCACACATTGAGAGCCACTGTTCTATAAGAAAAAAGAAAAGGAGTACTTGTGGCACCTTAGAGACTAACCAATTTATTTGAGCATAAGCTTTCGTGAGCTACAGCATCCGATGCATCCAATGAATTAAGCTGTAGCTCACGAAAGCTTATGCTCAAATAAATTGGTTAGTCTCTAAGGTGCCACAAGTACTCCTTTTCTTTTTGCAAATACAGACTAACACGGCTGTTACTCTGAAACCTGTTCTATAAGACACATGCGCCTTTATCCAGTCTGTCCTCTATGAACATATCTGCTTCCCTCAGATTGACTGACAAATCTCTATAATTAATTTGTAATGCATGAGATCAAACTATGATCAGACCTAGGACAAAATCATAATCTGCATTTTCATATTTAAAGACTTTTGTTCTTCTATGTAGGAGTCACTGTACAAGCCCTTTCTACAGTTCCTGTAATGTTCAGCTATTGGGTAAGTCCTTGCAAACAAATTTTGTAAGTCATAGATACTATAAAATTCAAAATAATAAAATCCACACTGCCTGTGAGTTAGGCAGTTCAGCCAGTCACCAGAATAATACAGCAAAGCTGCTCTGGCAGTGGAAGAAAGGCCAGCAGAGTAGCATGGCAAAGCTGCTCCAACAGGAGCTGGAGGCTGCAGAGCTCCAGTCTGGAGAACATTTAATACAAATGGGTGAGACAGCAACAGGAATTTAGGAAGAACAACAGGAAGCAGGGAGAGAGCCTTTACAGAGCATGAATCTAGGACTGGGGTGTATGATATAAAGGAAAAACGGGCAAGTTCTGATTCATTGGGTTGTAAGTCTATCAATAGATGTTTTCCCATAAAAATAAAATTTCAAAAATTGCCACAGGGAAATCCACCTTCTTTCTACTGCGGTGAGGAAGAATGCACTTCCTTCATGCACAGCACTGCAGAATTAGCCAGGTGCTTTATGAGGGATTTCTAACTTCCTATGAAGCATCTAATGAGCCATTTGTCAAATCATGTTTGGATGTAAATCATGAAGAAACTGATTTGCCCACAGGAGGGTATCTAGGCAATTTCCATCTTATTGACATTGGAATGCATAGATGAAGTATTAAAAATATGCTTTAATAGAACAGATGCATTTCCAAAAAATTTCCCTTTCTTTTAAATATCACACCCCCAATATGGGAAAGCTATTGGTCCAGGAAGCTCTGAGTCTGAAATTACACCTCCCACTTAGTAGCACAACTAGATTGGCAGAATGGATTCACAGTTATTTCAAATGAGTCAAACAAACAAAAAAGGGTTTCTAAATGGTTCATCCTAGCAAACAATGGGCTAGATTCATCCCAGGTGTAGCACCCCTTGACTTCAACAATTTAACATCAATGCAGTTACATCAGGAATTAACTTGGCCCATTTCCTATATGTATCTAGCAGTTCACAGCAATCGTGCTGAATGATAATACATAAAAAATTCAGTTACAGATGTCCTACATAAAAAATTATTACAGCATAACCCATAAATTAACTGTACACCTCTAGTACTTTGTGTAGGATGACATGTCCCATATTCTACACTGAAATAAACGTTTGTTTGGTTTTTGTTTTTTCCTTGAACATACCCTAGGAAAAAGTGGGGAACCAATTAATTTGTATAATATAGTTCTCCCTGGGTGTCATGACTGCCATATTAGAAATAGCACTAAGAACTTTTTAAATTTTACAAATCTTTTGTTCATGTTTACTCTGTAAAATTCATCATGGTCCAATGTCACACATTTCCACCTCCCTTCAATCCATTCTTCCCAACTCCAGCAATAAAATGGTAAATATTCAGGTATGTTAAAAAGAAAGATAAAAAAAGAAAGATGTAAAGTTTCGATCTGGATCCCAAAGACATTAAAATTGTGGGGTAGTCAAATCTAAGGGATTGGTTTGGCCCATTTTAGAGAAAAAGGCCAGATGCAAAATCTACATTTGGGTTTGGATCCAAAGTTCCACCCCACACAAAATTTGGAGGGCTCTGGGATTTTACTTAACACTCATTTCTAACTAAAAACCTAGGGGAACGCCTATGAAAAATATAGATCAAGTACACACTTCACTTTTTACTTGGACTCTTTGGCATTTACCCCTTGATTATCAATGATTGGTAATTTTAAGTGTGAGCAACATGTCCATTATAATACTACCAGAAGAGCCTTTACAATTCCTCACCATGGGAAGTCTTCCACACCAATTATTTCATTCTTGTACAGCATCAATAACATTATTTGGACACTAGACTAACTCTATGATCAAACCTGTGCAGCAGTAAATAAGCTGAGAATTGAAATCAGGGGTGAGAGAACTTGCTTTGCCAAGGATTCACTTGAAACTCCTGGCTTCTATGTGTAGAAGAGAATTCTCCATCTTTGAGCAGAGATGTGCTTGAACCAAATCCCCAGATACAAACACCCCCCGTTGAGATCTGGACTCAAAGTTTGTGGTCCAGGTCTGGTCTATGGGGTGCATTTTATCTGACATTCTCCTATTTGCTGCTTTTCTTCTAGTGCCCCATTCTGCCCTCTCAAAATGTAAATTACAATCATTTTACATTCCCACTGAATGCCAAACTGGGGCAAATTTACACCTACTTATGCTTTGTGTATAAACTGGTAAGAAAATGGATGTAACTCACTTTACCATTTACATCACCACTCAGTTCTGCCCAGAGATTCAGCTGGAAGATACAACTTCTTACACCAGGTCTCTATTTGCCTTCTGACAGGCACATGAGTGCTATAAGAGATTCTCTAAAAAATCCTGAGAGCATCAGCAAATGAGGCCAGATTCTTCCTTGCCTTATATGCCCCTGAGGGGTAGAAGGAAAAGCAACTAATGCGGGGTATGCAAGATTAAGTAGACCCAACTCATCAATCCTTCCTCTACGATTTCAAACAGGCCTTACACCTATTCAGAATGACTAGTGGTGAAGCAAAAGCCTTGGTTCAAGTCTTCTCCTTGTATTGTTTGCTGTGACATTTTTTCTTGGTGATAATTTACATGCAATCTTTTGGGTTTCTTCCAACATCTGTCAAGGTGATAAAATTTTGGAACTACATTTTAATTTACTCTTCTTCTTTATATCATACCAGGCCAAACCTGAGGATACTTTAGATCTGTGCCAATTATTAAATAATGACTTAGCTGCTACAGTAAAAAAGTACCCCAAGAGGTTTACTGGCCTTGGCACATTACCTATGCAAGCACCAGACCTGGCTGTGAAGGAAATGTATCGCTGTGTGAATGAGCTTGGCTTTCCTGGGGTACAGATAGGATCTCATATCAACGAATGGGACCTGAATGCACCAGAACTGTTTGCTGTCTATGCTGTGAGTAAACATTTCCTAGTTTACCCCAAATAATGTTGTGATATGAAATTGTAACTGAATAAAAGACATTGGGAAAAATTCAGCTGTCAGCTACACTAGTATAAATCCAAATATTTCAATGGAAATCATCTAAATTTACAGTAGTATATCTGAGAGCAGGATTTGGTCTAGAAAATCTGTTCAATGTAGCTAATTTTCTTTAGGCAATGAATGATCATTTACAAGAGACACTCATAAATTTGCTCTAATGACTGGGGGAGACAGCTAATATTGAATGTTATTAATTTGCAAATAAACTAACATAATAAATGTTAAAAAGCAAGGGTAGTACATTTCAAAGGTACTTTGTCTCATCCAGCCCCACTAAAGTCAATGGGAGATTTTACCATTTGTTTCAATGGACACAGGGTCAAGCCTGTAGATCCAATTGAGCACTCATGGCTGGACCCCATATTCTTTACTCACCCAAGAATATCAGTTGGGAGTGTGCAAGGACTTGTGCAGAATTGGGCTTTTATTCAAGCAGATTCCCAATGATGCTCTTTGAAGCTATGTGTGAGTAAGGCGGGCTGATAAGTAGCTATTTGATAGGTTTAGCTTTAATTATGTATGGTAATTCATCATGAGATACCAGCAAATGTTCTGGAGCATATTTTGTAAAATACATAATGAAATCTTAGACATATGAGACCTCACTGTAGGTCTCACTCCACTATTGCTGGAAAATTAGGAGAGTTGTCACTTTTTTGGTTTGTGAATGAGGGAGTATGTGACAATTAGTGAAGTGTGAATTAGTCCTATGATTATTTTTGTGTCCAAATAGAATGAAATGGTGAACAGTTTAAGGCTGGGAGTTCAAAGTGACCAAAGGGAGTTATGCATCAAATTTCCATTGACTTTCAATGAGATTTGGGCACTTATCAACCAAATGCTATTTGGAAAATCTGAGCCTCAGTCATTTAATTTTTGTAATGTATCTAAAATATTTCTTAGGTAGCAAGGCTTGATCTAAAGCCACCTGAAATATTTGAAAAGATTGTTATAGACTTCTATGGGTTTTGGATCAGGCCATGATAACCCTGGAATCTAAGTGTCACACAGAATTGAGTAAACATCACCAACAATTCCAAATTGAGTTTATAGATTACAAACTGAGTTTATAGATTATACATTTTTTAAAACAGTGTGAAGTCCAGATGGGCACCATTATTTGTCTAAATTACTGTATTCACATTTGGGGACACTGTATACCTTCAAATCAGCGGCACTGCCATGGGTACCCGCATGGCCCCACAGTATGCCAACATTTTTATGGCTGACTTAGAACAACGCTTCCTCAGCTCTCGTCCCCTAATGCCCCTAATCTTCTTGCGCTACTTTGATGACATCTTCATCATCTGGACCCATGGAAAAGAAGCCCTTGAGGAATTCCACCATGATTTCAACAATTTCCGTCCCACCATCAACCTCAGCCTGGATCAGTCCACAAAAGAGATCGACTTCCTGGACACTACGGTGCTAATAAGCGATGGTCACATAAACACCACCCTATACCAGAAACCTACTGACCGCTGTTCCTACCTGCATGCCTCCAGCTTTCATCCAGATCACACCACACGATCCATTGTCTACAGCCAAGCTCTACGATACAACCGCATTTGCTCCAACCCCTCAAACAGAGACAAACACCTACAAGATCTCTATCAAACATTCTTACAACTACAATACCCACCTGCTGAAGTGAAGAAACAGATTGACAGAGCCAGAAGAGTACCCAGAAGTCACCTACTACAGGATAGGCCCAACAAAGAAAATAACAGAACGCCACTAGTCATCACCTTCAGCCCCCAACTAAAACCTCTCCAACGCATCATCAAGGATCTACAACCTATCCTGAAGGACGACCCATCACTCTCACAGCTCTTGGGAGACAGGCCAGTCCTTGCTTACAGATAGCCCCCCAACCTGAAGCAAATACTCACCAGCAACCACTCAACAGAACCACTAACCCAGGAACCTATCCTTGCAACAAAGCCCATTACCAACTGTGTCCACATATCTATTCAGCGGACACCATCATAGGGCCTAATCACATCAGCCACACTATCAGAGGCTCGTTCACCTGCACATCTATCAATGTGATATATGCCGTCATATGTGCCAGCAATGCCTCTCTGCCATGTACATTGGTCAAACTGGACAGTCTCTACATAAAAGAATAAATGGACACAAATCAGACGTCAAGAATTATAACATTCAAAAACCAGTTGGAGAAGACTTCAATCTCTTTGGTCACTCGATTACAGACCTAAAAGTTGCAATTCTTCCACAAAAAAATTTCAAAAACAGACTGCAACGAGAGACTGCTGAATTGGAATTAATTTGCAAACTGGATACAATTAACTTAGGCTTGAATAGAGACTGGGAGTGGATGGGTCATTACACAAAGTAAAACTATTTCCCCATGTTTATTCCCCCCCCACCGTTCTTGTCAACTGCTGGAAACTGCCCACCTTGATTATCACTACAAAAGGTTCCCCCCCTCCCACTCTCCTGCTGGTAATAGCTCACCTTAAGTGATCACTCTCGTTACAGTGTGTATGGTAACACCCATTGTTTCATGTTCTCTATGTATATAAATCTCCCCACTGTATTTTCCACTGAATGCATCTGATGAAGTGAGCTGTAGCTCACGAAAGCTTATGCTCAAATAAATTTGTTAGTCTCTAAGGTGCCACAAGTACTCCTTTTCTTTTTGTATTTAATCAGTGTACATTCTGTATCTAATCCACAGGTTATTATAACTGTCATCTTGAAACTGATTCATGGAGGTTATTTTTCAGAACTCTCAATTTGCTTGAGAATTGTTAGTGCAACATCTTGATGGCTTGTTTGGTTTTGTGGTTACACACAGTCTGTTATCAATCTCTACCTTTTGGGGATGCTTAGATCAATCAGTATATGTTGGAACATATACTGGAAGTTACCTCCCACAGTAATTAGCACCACATGCAGAAACACCCTTGGAAAGTAAAGATGATGAAGGAAAGCTACATTTGACCTTGAGCTGTATCAGTTCATCAAGCCACTTACCGAGCTACGAATTTTTGTTTAGGAATATAATCCTGATCCTTATGGCAACAGTTACGATTCACAAATCACGAGCTTGCATTTATCCACAAATTTTAGCTTTATTTACTTGTGTAAGCCTAGTTAATCACAAATTGTTCAACCCTGTGATTATATCTTCCTTACAAGAAACACAGTTCCAGACATACATGTGACAAAATAGAATTATTAAGATCCCCATTAAGCACATGAGTAGACCTGACTACTCGTGCTTAAAATTAACGATGTGCCAAATTCACTCAATCAGGGCCCATACGCTGTACAATTCCTGTTTTCTTTTCTAAAATTACCAACAGTTGAAGTCCCAGTCTTCAAGGTTTGTGTACTGTTTGGGTTTGTTTGTTTACAAAGAAATTCTCTTTAACTCTATATTGTATAGAGGAGCTGTTCAAATACTAAAAAGAAAGGGAGGGAAGTTAAGACCAATTTATAACAAAATAAAGACTAATTTATGGGCACTACTTACCACAACTATGTATAACCTACCGTGTCATTTACATGTGTGTTAAATTATGTAATTAATACATTAATATTATTTTATCACATTCTTAATAAATGAACAGCACAGCATGCACATATATTCATTGGCAAGAGTTTGTGTTGATGGCAAACAATTCAGGTTGTCCTTGCCAATAAAAGCTTTAAACCACACCACACTATCATGTAACTTGCTGTGCTCCATATTTAACTGAAAACAAATATTTTAGAAATATAGAGCCTTTAAATAAATATTGGTACTATTTGTGTATCAATCCACACGTAAAGTCAGACTCTCTTAACACCATGGGTCCAACTGTAAATTTTATAAATCTTTAAAAATTATCCAAATTAGTTTTTCTGACACAATAATGCTGCAATTTAAAGATCTCACATCTTGTAAGCTACTTAGGCTAAGATAAGAATTGTATCCTATTGGAAAAGAGGGAATTCCCAGCTTTTCAATGGGATAAGTCCATTATTCCCGGAAGCTGCACAAGGTCTTGGAATGTTAAATGTAGTCCCAGTGGAGACGGATTAGTGGGAAGAATGGAGCTTGATTTGTAGCCCTCAGGACTGGATAGAAACAGTTCTAAACATGAATCCATGCAGTGGGACAGATACACTTCCCACAGTAACAAATGTTGCTAAACACAGCAGACTTCAGTTCTATAGGCACCTCTATCCAGTGCTCTGAGAATTCACTCCTATGTGCTAAAAACAGTCAGGTAGAATGTTAGTTTGCACTTAGTTTAACTTTGCAGTAAGACACAGATACAAATAATGTGACAAGCACTTTTGTACCAAACAATTAAATTTTGAAGAATGCTTTTACTTAAATGACAAAATGTTGTTGTAAGGGCCCAGTTCTGCAGCCCTCAAGGAGAATTTTGAATAGGAGTAAGGACTGGAGTAAGGATCAGGGCTGACTGGGTAAATACCACCATCCTCATAAGTGCAAGATCTCTTTCTAGGGGCTTGTCTTAACTAGAAAAATTACACCGAGTTAGAACATGACCTAGAGCACAACTAGCATGATGTTGAGCACAACTTTGCAGGCAGTGTAGATGCAGGCAGTCATGTTCAACACCACATCAGCTGGTCAGTGTTAGTTAACTTGAGATCGTGCTCTAATGCAGTGTAGTTCTCAGCAAAGACAAGCCTCATGCTGCTGCTATGGTGGGCTTTGAGGGCATGCTGACTATGTGGATCCACTGGCTCACGCATTCACACACACACACAGGGAATGGGAATGGGAAAAGGAGCATAGCAACCAGGGAGGCCCTTCGTGCCCTGTAGTTGTAGGAGGGCCATGCCACAGCTTTGAGGGTGGATTCTGTATGTGCCAAGCCCACTTACTCAGAAGCGGTGTGAGGGCTACAACTTGAGCCTAAGTGAGCACCTCCATTTTTGGTCAAATCTTGTAATCCTTTCTATGAATTATTTACAGCAAAAGCAAAAAAGGCCTTTTTAACAGTATTGCCTGGAGCATACATACATTTTGGAGTTAATTTTTCTACTGTTAAGTCCAGATAATATTTTTTTCCTTTTCACCAAAGGCTGCTGAATTATTAAACTGTTGTCTGTTTGTGCATCCCTGGGACATGCAGACAAATGGAAGGATGTCCAAGTACTGGCTTCCCTGGCTGGTGGGTGAGTATATAGTTACAGTACTTAATCTTCATTCATTACCTGTCATTAGCTGCAACACATTATGCCAAGGAGACAATTGCAAATGTATAATTGCATGAGAAAGACTACATTACTTTTCTGTCAATCATTTTTAAAATCATACACTGCCATTAGGTCATCACTATAAACTTCACTGGCTAAACTTTATATATCTATAATATCTGTATCACTAGAATTTAAGGGGCTTGCAACAGCCTCTAATGTTCTCTTGCCTCCCAGAGAGCAGATGTCCAGGAACACCTCTTCTGCCTCTGTTGAGAAGGCTCCCAAAGGGAGCATGATTAGAAGACAGACAAGTGGAATTAGCAAACGACACACATTAATTCGTATAATGCCCTCTGAAACAAGTAGACTAGGAAGGGGATATTTTGAATTTAAGTTCATTTCAACCATAGCTGAAACAACATGTGCTCGAGGCTCCTTAGAGGTATAGGCAATAGGGAATTGTCTGGTTTCAGTGTTTTCCACATCTGTCAGTTAAATTAGAGTTGCAGTCCAGCAACAAGTAACAATGGGTAAAATTGTGACAGTCTCTGGAAGATTTTAGGCCTGATTCTACTCTTACTTACTCTGATTTAGCACTGTGTAACTCGATAGACTTCACTGGAGTTACTCCTGATTTACACCACTGTGACTGAGAACAGAATCAGGCACTTTAGCATTATCTACACTAGAACATTTTGGTGTTGCAGCCACCACTGCACTTGTGGAACACCTGATCTCCATACATGAAATTTTTAGCAAAGGTGCATAATTGTTCACATCACCACTGTGCTTGCACTGGGTTACACTACATTGGCCATGTCTATACTAGGGCCTTTTGTTAACACTGGTTCAGATCCAATGTGAGCTCTAGTGTAGATGGGCTACCAGCTGCTTGCACTATTTTTAACACCATATCAGATAACCTTACTCAGTGCAGGTCTATTTGACATGGTGTTAAAAAGAACTGAACATTGTTATATTTACTTACTTAATGAGATGCAGTAACCTAAAAACACATTCTCATGGTACTTATGTAGAGCTTTACATCTTCAGAGCGCTGCACAAACATTGAGGACAGGTTTCAGAGTAACAGCCGTGTTAGTCTGTATTCGCAAAAAGAAAAGGAGTACTTGTGGCACCTTAGAGACTAACCAATTTATTTGAGCATAAGCTTTCGTGAGCTACAGCTCACTTCATCGGATGCATACTGTGGAAACTGCAGAAGACATTATATACACAGAGACCATGAAACAATACCTCCTCCCACCCCACTCTCCTGCTGGTAATAGCTTATCGAAAGTGATCACTCTCCTTACAATGTGTATGATAATCAAGTTGGGCCATTTCCAGCACAAATCCAGGTTTTTTCACCCTCCGCCCCCCCACATAAACTCACTCTCCTGCTGGTAATAGCCCATCCAAAGTGACCACTCTCTTTACAATGTGTATGATAATCAAGGTAGGCCATTTCCAGCACAAATCCAGGTTTTCTCACCCCCCACCCCCCCTCCAAAAACCACACACACAAACTCACTTTCCTGCTGGTAATAGCTTATCCAAAGTGACCACTCTCCTTACAATGTGTATGAAAATCAAGGTGGGCCATTTCCAGAACAAATCCAGGTTTTCTCACCCCCCCCCCCAAAAAAAAAAAAACACACACACACACAAACTCACTCTCCTGCTGGTAATAGCTCATCCAAAGTGACCACTCTCCCTACATTGTGCATGATAATCAAGGTGGGCCATTTCCAGCACAAATCCAGGTTTTCTCACCCCCCCCCCCCCCCAGACACACAAACTCACTCTCCTGCTAATCTTGGCAACTCCTTTCTGAGTTGGGTGTTATTTTCCCCGTATCACAGGAAAACTAAGGCAGAGAGGCTAAGACCCAAATTTTCAAAGTTGGGTGTCTAAAGTTAGACACATCAGTGACCTGATGCTTTAGAGGTGCTGAGCACCCCCAACATCCATTGACTGGTTTAGGCTCCTAAATTTGGCTTTAGGTGCTTAACTCTAGGCACCCAACTTTGAAAATTCTGTCCCAAAGGCAGAGAGAGTCAGTGTCAGAGCTGAGATTACAGCTCAGGAGTTCTTAGCTCCTAGTCCTGTTTTCTGACCACAGTTTAAGAACTTTAACTGACTAATAGCATTGAGTGCTTCTCTGATAAGAAATAAAGCTATACAATAAAGCTATTTGTCATTTGCACTGTAACTGTTAACTTTGGCATTAAGTATAGATTTTATTGGGGGAAACATCAAGCTGCAGTGTGATGTCTTATGTCATGAAACTTTTTCTTGTTGTTAGGCATGCCAGGGGAAACAACCATTGCCATTTGCTCCATGATTATGGGAGGAATTTTTGAAATGTTTCCTAAACTGAAAGTTTGCTTTGCCCATGGAGGTAAGCAGTTTGCCTCAGAAGCCACTGGTTTTGCTGGGTATTACTGAATGGTTCTGCTGTTTGATTTTGTCTGTTATCAGAGCAAATTCAAGCATTTAATTTTATATTATTTGAAAAACAACACTCAGTAAAAATATAAAGTTAAAATAAAGACATAGGCCTATCTCAAAAGGGATGATTTAAAAAGGAACAAGTCATTTTAAAGGTGATTGTTAAAAGGAACCAGGCCTTATCATTCCTAATGAATCAGTTTAGTTCAAATGTTCCAAAATAACAGGGTTTTGTGGTCTCCAGTTACCAGTGGACTTGTGTCCACATCACAAAACACCATTACAGCTGTCAGTAATTGGCATCTTTGTTGATAGTCTGAGCAAAGAAACCAAGGATTGAAAAGTCCTGGAGACTGAAGTATCCACTTTTCTCTAGAGATGACCCATGTTGATCAGTGTTGATATCTGGGTTTGAATTCACCAGTATGACCTACTGACCCTTTTGGAAGTCAGTGGGAATTTTGTATGAGGAAAGATCTAGAGTGAGGCCATGGTCTGTGGGTTTCTTTTGAAATATGCAGATTGGATAACAAAATTTATCACAAGCAATCAAAAATGGGTCATGCAGCCTTTGCGTAATGCTTCTTGGTAGCTTCTGCTATCTGAAAATAAGCTTCTCTTTGGCACCCTTAAGAGACTAGTTTTTTGACAAAAAATGTTCACTCAGAACCCAAGCCAGATAAGTCAATGGCAGTTTTGAATACAAAAGGTTGCAGAATCCAGTCCTTGATGTTTTGATATGTCACTGGGACTCAGGATGACCACTCAGCAGATTTGACCAAAAGGAGCTGCTCTTGTAAGAGAGAAGAAAGAAAAGGCACACAATAGGAGCAGAGGGAAACTCAGAAAAGCTTATACCAATAAAGGAAAGCAAACTAAAATGCAGGTGACAGATCGCTGTTTGTAGAGATTACAAAAACTTTGCTCACAGTGCTATTCTAAGCTCTCAGATATTATTGTGCTCCAGTGACAAAGGCAGAAATGCCAATGTTGCAGTTACTTCCACTTGTTTGTTTTAAGTGCCATTTTATATCAAGGTTTTTTTAAAATAAGGTAAAAATGGAAAAAAGATAGATGGCTCTTCTAATTAGAGCTATGATTTTTGCTCTCAGGATTGTGTCAGAAAAAGACACGTAGCCATATCTGATATAAATAATGAAGCCCTCATGGCTAACCTTATACTCTTTACATTGAATAGCTGGGATAAAATCTATGACCAGGATAACTCAGCAGTATGGCTCATATTGTCATATGGAATCTGGTGAGCTCTAAAGATGTGCATCTGTTTTCTGGTGTATAGTTGACCTGGCCATTTTTCTGTTTTGACATCCAATGGGAAGCAATTTTCTTTTGAAATTATGTTCTTGAAGAGAAAGAACGGACAGCTGGTGAGGAAATGTAAGGAGGAGAAGGGAACAGAAACACTTTCGTCTCATGGCAAGAGCTAGCACATGTCACTTGAATAATGGTTGTCAATGAGTATATTTGGGGTGTGGGTATTCTTACAAATTTCACCCACACACCAAACTCAGTTCTCTTGAGATGCAAAAATGAGACATTAAAACAAGGTGCCATACAAGTAGGATTTTCAGATCTTCAGAATCTGATATTCCTTTTTTTCCTTGAATACTTTGCTCTGTGGGGAAATTGATAACAATACTGATATTTAAATTATTGTTGTTCAAGCTTCAGTGTTTACACTCATTGATATGGATAGAGGAACTTCCCAAGGACCAACAGTTTCAGGTTGTCTACTATCTGAGACAGGCATCACTGCTTCAGTTTACATTGGGTTCATATTTCAAAGATTTTCCTTAAAATCATAAGGACTAAAGATCCAGCCTGGCACGGTCTAGGAAACTGTAAAGTTAAATCAAATATCAAACAAACTGAAGTGGAGAGAAGATATACAACTATTGGACATGTATTTTATCTATGTAGTAATCAGGTATGTCTATTTCTTCCCTCAGTGCTTGAAGAGTTTACTTGCATTGACCAACAGGGTTCTTACCAATGAAAGCCCAGTAATTCTGTCCATCAAATCTTGTAGTGCTTTCACTTATCACTGTGCCATCATTTAAAATTGCCTCCATCCTCCCACACAACCGATCTCACAATATGTAGCTGACAGTGTCTTCCAGAGGTGTGTCTATATCAGCCAGAAAAACAATGGATGAATTCCTGGCCCCATTAAAGTCAATGGGACCAGGATTTCACCACACAACTAGCAAAAACTTGTGTGCTGCTCCCACTGCTGCTGTAAACACAGTCTTAAGACCATACAGCTACTGTAAGCCGGCTGTGAAGGGGAGATAGTGAGCAATGCAGTGAACACTCTCGCTACCCAAGATAAGCAGACAAAATCATCTCCACTATATCCCCAGACACTGCTGGTCCAATGAGCGTGCTTCCCCGCTCCCCTCACACACACATATACCCCTACACACACACACACGTCTCAATCTCTGGTCAGAAACACTGTATGCCAATATTTAGCCATTGATGTGGCTCAATTCTTATAATGTTGGAACCAAATCTTCTGCTGGAGTAAACTGGAGTTTCTCTATTGACTTCAATGGAACAATGCTTATTTGCACCATTTTATTACATTTTGTGCCTGGGGTTGTTTGTGATTAAGAATTCTTGCTCACTCTTGAGTATTATAGGATACTAATTTCTGTATAGCTGCACAATAACTTCTCTCTGTGTTGACAAATTAGCTTTGTTCCTTCCTGTTTTTTCAGGTTTTGTAAATCAAAGAAATAATTTCCACTTTCAATACAATTACCTCTTTGTAGGTGGCGCTTTCCCATATACAGTAGGGCGTATTTCCCATGGATTCAATGTGCGTCCTGATTTGTGTGCAGTGGATAATAAAGTTGATCCAAAGAAATACCTCGGTTCATTTTACACGGATTCACTTATCCATGATCCTCGAGCCCTAAAGCTGCTAATCGATGTAATAGGAGAGGTGAGTTGGAATATTTCCTAGACTATATGGCTGATAATGCCCAGGTGAGTCATACTGCATTCAGTTCTTCCTTGAGGAACTCGAGTGGGAATCTTATCATGCTTCAAATATGGACATAAATAGAAAATTATTTCAGGCACCTTTTGGCAGCTAGATACTTCCAATCCAAGTGGCTGGTTAGGATCAGTGGTGCAAGTAGATTTTAACTCTTACCAGTATGGTACCGACCCCCTGACTCCACCCGCCCTCACAAAAAATGTTCTGAGACTAGAGCCCTGTGTATATACAAATTTATACCCATGGATGTGAATATCAGTGAATAGAAATCGGTATCCACCGAACCGCAGGGCTCTCCCGGGAACCGCAGCGGTGACAGGAGCAGAACGTGGGGCCACCGCTCCCAGGAGCCAGTGGCCCACACTAGCAGCTCCTCTGGCTCAGCTGTAGCCTCCCCCAGCCCTTCCATGCAGCTGAGTCTCCTGTCTGGGGTCTGTATGGCCCCACCGGAGGACAAGGCTGGGGGCTGGTTTGGGGACGGTACAGCCATGCCAGAGGAGCTGCCAGCACGGGGCAATGGCTCCTCGGAGCAGCAGCCCCATGTTCTGCTCCTTTTGCCACTGCAGTTCCCAGGAGAATCCTGCAGTTCAGCAGATACCAATTTCTATCTGCGGATATCCGCATCCACGGGTATAAATTTGTATTCATGCAGGGCTCTACACTTCATTCTTGAAATATGTCTTTCTGGTATAGCATACCGGCAATAAATGTCTTAATGGTACGGTGTACCTGACTGTACCGGCTTACTTGCACCACTGGTTAGGATCCAGTAGTTATTTTTCAACTGAGATTGGCCCTTCTCAAGACATACTTAAGGAAGGCCATTCATAGTGGAAACTCGACCATTTCTTAACTAGTCCTCATTGTATAAAATTAATCCTAATATTTGACATATATAAAGTATTATTAATTTGCACTTACGAAATGCCTTCCATCTGAAGATCTCAAAGTAGTTTACAAAAGTTAAGCCTCTGAACATCCCTGAGAAGTACACCATGTTTATATCTGAAACCATTTTTAAAAGACAGGTTTCAGAGTAGCAGCTGTGTTAGTCTGTATCCGCAAAAAGAAAAGGAGGACTTGTGGCAACTTAGAGACTAACAAATTTATTTGAGCATAAGCTTTCGTGAGCTCTTTTTGTAATGTAGGTGGATCCAAAGGGATCAGAAGTGCAGGTGGATGGATAGAATTGGTGCACAAAATATATTAACAAGGTACAAAATACCATATCTGACTAAACAGCAGGTGAAATCCTGGTCCCATTGAAGTTAAGTTAATGGGAGTTTTGTCATTTACTTCAATGGGACCAGGATTTCAGCCAGTGAATATAAGCTCAGAACCTCAGCTGGTCTAAATCAGCATATCTCCATGAAGCCAATAGAATTATGCTGGTCTACATCAGTTGAGCGTTCTGCCTCATAGAGTTCTAGAAATAATGGGCCCAATACTTCAAATTTTTGTCATCCTTGTTCCCATGGATTGCGAACAATTCAATTCAGTGAGAACACTCACCTGAGTTAGGCTGCTTGCTTTGTTCATAGGCCATCACAAGAATCCCAAACCCAAAGAAATAAACAAAATCCCCAAGTGTTTTCATAAAAACACTTTTATTTGAGAAAAGCAAATCGTATTTCTGCTTGGGAAGCAATAGGCTGGAAAATCACTAAAGGGAATTCAGGTGGAAATCCTGAATGGCATATTAAACAGAACAGAATGCTAAATATTTTAATTGTTATGGTAGAAAGGAAAGGAAAGGAAATGTTATAGTAGCTGCCTATTTAAATAAGAGTATGGGACAAAAAACCCAACCCTGAACTGAAATGTCCCAAATACTAGTGGGACTGAACAGTCCCTTCCACAGGTAAATCTGCAGAAGATGGCCAGATGATGGAATCTCTCAGTTTTCTCCCCAGTTACTCTATGGGGTGCAGAGTTTGCCTTTCCCTGGAAGCAGGCAAGAGGATAGCATCCAAACTCCATGAAACCTTGGATCTATATGGGGATCAGCAGGACCTTAGAGCCATCCATACAGAAGGCCTGTGTCACTGGGCTGTGGATCTCTGGAACCCCCACAAGGCTTCTGCATCTGGCAGGGGACTCCCCACCATGGAGGGAAACTGTAAATACAGGTTTCAGAGTAACAGCCATGTTAGTCTGTATTCGCAAAAAGAAAAGGAGTACTTGTGGCACCTTAGAGACTAACCAATTTATTTGCTCAAATAAATTGGTTAGTCTCTAAGGTGCCACAAGTACTCCTTTTCTTTTTGTAAATACAGTCTAATCCTTCTCCTTCCTTGTCCCAGCCACTGCTTGCTCCCTCCCCACACGTTTCACTGGACCCTCACAGTGCCCTCCACAGGGAAGTGGGGGTTGCTTCCACAAGGGCCCCTTCCACATACAGATCTCAGAGGCACACCGTGGCCAATGTTTTTCTACCCACCATCTAATACTAAAAAGCTAGTTAATTACCCACTTTCACCACTAGATGTCTGTGCAGACCTCTCTAATTAATAGATTGTATGGCTGGCACAGGGATCTTTTTACTAGACAGAGAAAAAGAGCAACAACATGTAAGAAGCAATTGATTACAGTTAATTATGCATTCTGGGCACAGTCCACAACCCATTGAAGTGAATGGGTTTTTGGATCAGGGCCTCAGTCAGGATACCCACCACTTGTGAGTCCTTTACTCCTGCATGCAGCTCCCCCACAGTGTCTGTGCAGTGTAGACAGTCTTACCATACAAAGATGCCCACAAGACTTAGCAACACGATAGCACAATTAATCACCCAAAATAATATAAGGAGAGTTCTATACACAAAGCTGTACATAATAAGGCTACTGTTCCACTGAGCGAAGACAGAGTGAAGACCAAGTAGCTTGTGAAAGTCACCAGAATCTAGAGATAGATATGCAGTGGGAGATGTATGAAAAGTCCACAATGACAACTGAAACCATGCAACCTAGATTTATTACAAACAAACAAATCCTCACGAGGCTGTTTGTCAAAAGCATTGCTAAAAGCACAGTGCAATAGAGGATCAGCCACCTCCAACGGCTTTACTGGATATAACTTTGAGCAGAATTTCCCCAACTCTGTCCTTGTTTATAGGCATGTTATGGCATTCTCAGCAGAACTGCGAGTCCTACGGCATGTTTGGCACACAGATATTCCCCATCAGGCTCAGTGCATGTAGGTTGTGAGCTCTCTGGAACTGCAACTGTCTTTTTTGTTACTTATCTGTAAAGTGCCTAGCACTGGGACTCTGATCCTAGATTGTGGCTCTCAGATGCTACCATACAAATCATAATAATATAACATGTACATTCTATCCAGGCTTTTCTACTGTACTTTGTGATACTTTTTGGATCCAGGTTTCAGAGTAGCAGCCGTGTTAGTCTGTATTCGCAAAAAGAAAAGGAGTACTTGTGGCACCTTAGAGACTAACAAATTTATTTAAGCGTAAGCTTTCGTGAGCAGCTGGTCAAGTCTTTCTCCTCGGTATTTTCAACTCTATGGGGACAAACTCACCTGATCTATCAACACATAGCTACAGGAACAGAGCAACACGTCCAGGAGACCCCTCGGCTGCGTCCTTGGATAATAAGGGAAACAGTTTGGAAGGAGTTACAAGCAATGCTAGATCTCTGGGTAGGAGAAGAATCTCACCATGAGTGGAGGGGTCCTATATTGCTGGTACCGAAACCAGAGGACACAACACGCTTATCATTATATCCAAATTCAATGCATACCCAATGTCCACGATAGATGAACTGTTGGAATGCCTAGAAGCAGCCAGATATATCACTACCCTGGATTTTACAAAATGGTACTGGCAGATCCCTTTGATGCCTGAGTCCTGGGAAAAGCTTTACTAGTTTTGCACCATGCCCTTTGGCTTCCATGGGGCTGCAGCTATGTTCCAATGATTGATGGACTGAGTGCTGTGGCCACACAGGGAGTAAGCAATGGCCTATCTTTATGACAGTTCTTGATAGCTAGAACTGGAACAACTGCACACAATACGTCACTCCTTGCTGGAGATGTAGGACTCACAGCAAACCCAGCGACATGCAAGGCATAAGAACAGCCATACTGGGTCAGACCAATAGTCCATCTAGCCCAGTATCCTGTCTTCCGACAGTGGCCAATACCAGGTGCTTCAGAGGGAATGAACAGGACAGATAATCATCAAGTGGGGGGCAGGGGGGAACCACCTTAGAGTCAGCTTCTGCTTTTGGTGAATAAATGGCAGCCTCAGTGCTGCTTTATGTTGTATAAGTTTGTAATGGGCCTCGTAAGAGCAATTACACCCACCCCATTTAGCCCTGGCATGCCTCCCACACTTGAGAGGACCAGGAGCAGGTGATAAAGAGTCAGCCACACCAGCTTTACACTACTTGGGAATTCCCCTACACAAGGGACTCCTCAGCCAGAGCAGCACAAATGGCATGAAGGGGAAGCAAGGAGTGCTCATGGGTTTTTTCAGAAAACTTTTGATAAAATGTCATGAAACATTGTGGAATCCAAGCTTTGCTTGAACTAGTTAAACACATAACAAATTGAAATAATTTCTATCAGGCATAGGAGGTAGTACGTGAATATATAATAAACTAGACAGGCAGGCTTCTGAAGGAGATACTAAAGGCCAAATGCTGCCACTCTTACTCATGTTGAATCACTTCTTTCTCCATGAGTAATTTCACTGATTCCAGTGTGATTACTTACAGAGTAAGGGGGCTGAAATCTGGACCTAAATAAATGGCAGCTTGACTTCCCATTGCAGTATTGCCAAACCCAAGCATTGCAAAAATTGTCAGACCCCCAAAATCACAAAATTGTCTTAAAAATCATGAGGGTTTTTTTTAAATAACAAATGTTGGGTTCTTTTTCAATGTCTTCTGGTCTGTGCACTTTTAAGGTCATGTTTTAAAACTTTTCT